CTTCTCTTCCTTTCTCTCAGGATTTTGGACACATGCACAAGTGTCTGGTCTGACTTTTAAGTTGCTGAATCCAGGACTCAAATTGTGGTTGGCTATGTGAGGATCCAGGCCTTAAATTCCATGATACCTACTGACTCCAAGGAGCTCCCTTTTCTATGCTGTAGTTACAGGAATTGGCAGATGACCAATTTTGCCAATCACATTAAACTCATGTCCATGATAAAGTGACCAGTTCAGCTTAGGATATCAAGAACAGTATTCTTCAGTTCTTTCTTTAGATCTCTAAGTGGAACTAACAGAAAGAAAAAGAATGTCTGTTAATTGAGATGTTAAAAAGTGTCCTATTACTTCCAAGAGAAATTTTTTTTTTTTTTTTTTTTTTTTGCCATAGGGTGGGGTGTGCTCACCGGAAAGGAGAGAGACAGAGAGATTCAGAGAGAGAGAAAGTGAGAAATCACCCCCTGGGGGCAAGGCCACATGCTATCCCTTCCTGCCTCTCCTCTCAGGATTCTGGGCATGCATGTGTATGTACCCAGCATGATTTTCAAGCCACCAAATCTGCGACTTGAACATTGATCGTCGGTGTGGGAGTCCAGCATCTTAATCATTGCACTACCTGCTGGCCCCCAACGAGACCATTTAACAAAGTTACAGTCATTAAAAATACTGATAGAAACAAGACAGAGCTGAGTTAGTGGTACTAATGTCTTTTTAGTACTAAGTATGCTATAGCTTCTGGGTTTCTGAACATTTTACTTTGTAGATATGAAACATTGTGACTTCGTACCTAAGAATTTTTTTTTTTTAATTTAAGATGATATTTAGTTTGATGTTAATTGCACTGGAAGGTTTATCAATTTAATACAGATTTCTGATTTTTAAAAAAATTGAGAGTAGACTATGGATACTAGGGTTTATTAGAATTAATTCTACTGTGAGTGGATTACAGATACTAGATCTTATTAGAATTAGGTCTAAATTCTGTCAAATAAAAAGGACCTGACTAGATTGTATATAAATATATAAAATCATTCCATTTATATATAATTTCTGAATACTCTATATTTTTGCCTTTATTTTCTTTTCTGTTTCAAGTAATTACTTTGTAGAACAAGTGAATTGTACATTAATGTGATTTTCCAGACACTAATTGATTCTTTGTTTTTTTCTATTATAATTTTTATTTATATCTTCAAGACTGGCTAAAACCACAAAACTTTCAAAAAAGGTTTAATTTTTTAATTTGCCAGAGATCACATGAGCTTTCCAGAGAGAGAGACAGAGAGAAAGAAAGAGGAATTGAGTGAAAACCTCCTGTTAGAAACGGTCATGTTGCACTTTCTGCTTTAAGATTTGGCAAATCATAAGTAGAAAAAAAGCAAGCCATGGTGAAGAGCTGATAAACAGCACTTGAATGTGAATATGACCCCAAACTCTGATCATATGGTTTCCACAGTCTGAACTTACAATATGAGCTCAGTCCTATATCTGTGTCCCTTGAGTAAACTTTAAAACATTTTCCATGAAGTACATGTAATTCCTCAAATAGCTCTTGTTTACAGATATTCCCAGGGGTTTTTCTGGGCTTCATGATATAGCACTAAGAGACAGGAAGGGCCAGTTTAAAGGATTCTTTCCTGCTTCTAATCTCTTTCTTACCATTGACTTCATGGTGGAGAGGTACACCAATTAAAATAAAAATCTTGAAAAAGGGTAAGATATAATTCTACCCTTTCAGAATATTTGACACAATTTTATTCTATCTCCTACCTATTTGGATTCTGAAGGAATAGACTAGATGCTAAATCGGCAGAAGCAAATTAGATAATTCTGGTGTAGATTGGTATCCTTACAGAACTTTCAAGGACAGAGTGTATGTGTTAGTGGGAATACATGTCTGGGAAAGGCTTAGAAATGGTGATCCAGAAATACCCAGTCTACAAGATGTGTGTGAGAAGGATGTATATGTCAAATAGCACATGGTTCATAGTTTTTGTTTCTCACCTTGGACAAGTTATTATGCCTCTTGAAAACTTTTTTTTAATCTTTAGAATAGATTAAATAGTAACATAGCAGCATAAATGAGAAAACGTTTGTAATTTATCTGAGAATGTTGTATTAGTATTTAAATTTTAAAATACAATAATATGTAATAAATTTCTGTGTGTTTGTACCATATGTTTGAATTAAATTTCAGTAGTACTACCTCCAAAGAGCGATGCAGTCTTTAAGACAAGGATGAAACCAAAGCCAGTACACAAATGGCCATAATATGTTGATGTAAGATTATTTTAGCCTAGCAAACTCAGTTGAAAAAGCAAGTTCTGGGACCAGCAGTTAGTGTAATGGCTATGTCGCTGGACTCCCATGTAGTTGACCACGGTTTGAGTCCCAGACCTGGCAGCTTAAATTCATGCTGGCTGCATGTGCATGTGTGCCCAGGATCCTGAGAGGAGAATAGAAGAGAAGGGATCGTGGTGTGGCCATCCCTCCCCCCCGGGGGGAGGGTGATTTCTTGCTTTTTGTCTCTCTGTCTCTCTCTGTCTTTCTGGCAAGCACATGTGCCCTATAGCAAAAACCTCTCAAAAAAAAAAAAAAGGAAAAGGAAAAGCAAGTTAGTTCTGTGACTCAGATAAGGACTTTCAGAATATGAAAAATGCAAGATGATGGACATCATGTCGTTATTTGCAGGCTCAGCTTTTCATTGTAAACATTTATATTTTGTAAGCTGTAGGAACCAAGTCCTTGGACTGTCTTCTGGGCACTCCTCCATTAGGAGATTGTGAAGAAAATAAAAGTACAGCAATAGAGCAGCCAGTTTTGAAAATATAATATCTGCGTCCAGAACCACTAAGACAACATATTCTCCTAGAATCAATAATTTCCTACTCCAAATAATTTTGGAAATGTCTAACAGTTCATATTGACAGGTCATTTAAAAGGTGGCTAAGATACTGGGTTCCCACATGGCTGACCATGGTTTGAGTCCCAGATTCAGTAGCTTGAAAATAATGCCAATATCCTGAGAGAAGAATGGAGGAGAAGGGATTGTGAAGTAGTCATACCCCATGGGAGATGATTTCTCTCTTTCCTTCTCTCTGTCTCCCTCTATTTCTCTCCAGTGAACATACATGCCCTATGACAAAAACCTTAAAAAAAAGGAAAATAAAGGAAACTATGTGCATGAGTAAATGGAGAAGCAGCAATTACTTTATCAGGCTTGCCCTGTGTATAATGGTTAAGTGCTGTGCTTTGGGAGCCACAAACCACATGGCCAAATTCCAGCCTTGGTGGCTTAAAAATCACATCAGGCATGTGTGCATCTGTGACCAAAATCCTTACAGGATGAAGAAATGCAAGAAAAGGCATTACTTCATGGAAGGGTTCCTCTCTCTTGTCTGTCTTTCTGAGAAAGCACTTGTCCTGTGATTTTTTTTTAATTTTTAAATTAAAAAATAATTCCTAGATTATTAAGAAAATGGAATATGAAGCCTATAAAGGTAATGACTTTGGAAAAGTTATCCACTTGGACAGTCAAGAAACTGTGTTTTGATATGTTTAGAAGAGCTAACTATTTTTGTGACCTGAGGAACATAGAATAGGGAATCTAAAACTAAACAAACACAATCACATGATATTTGATGGACTAATGTTATATATTATTAATAACACCATAATATTAATGTTATTTTATACCACATATATTATTTGATAGAGATGATATTTTTGCCTCAAGAATGGAGGAAATTATTATTGTCTCCAACTTGGGAAAGTTATAATCAATTCCATGTATGATTACGCAGCTACAACTAAATTCCACTTACTAAGCTAAAGACTGAAAATTCAGTAATGAACAATGTGATCATTATTCTCTACCCTAATATTCTGGTAGTAGGAGAAAGCAGACATAAATCAAACAATAGTATGGGTAACAATAATGAAGCTACTGTGTAAATGGGACTAAATGATGTACCTGAGAGAAAAGAACAAGCAACTTTTTAGAAACATATATTTTATATTTTGTTGTTTACATTTGTCATAAATCTTTGTGGAATAAATATGGTTTTTCGAAACATTCATACAGTATATGATAATCAAATCAAGGATATTATTATATACATTGCTTTCAGCAAGGAACTTCCATTCTGTGTCTATTAGATGTTTTATTTAACCCTTTCCATCCACCCCTAACTATCCACTCACCTCCCATACAATCTCTGGTACCTATGCTTTTCCTCCTTACTATTATATCTTTGAATATTTCAATTTCTGCTGTAGAGTGAAGACATAAGGTATATATTGAACAGGGACATATTGCATTTGTCTTTCAGTCTATAACAATTCCCTTCAAGAAGAGAAAACAATCTGAATATTCATCCATTAAACAGAAAGCTTTAGGTAGTAGTTAATATACTGATACTGGTGATAAGTTAGGAGGTGTATGATTAAGAGTGACTTCTGTATATGCAAAAGGTAAACCTACATGTGTTCTAAAGAACTTCCAGCTATACTATTACTCAATATATTCATCCTATTGAAACATCTAGTATGATTATAGAAGTGGAATAATTTATGAATCTCTGCACTATGCCACAGTAAATTTTACATTTCTCTTCAAGATTTCATTTCTCTTATACAAGAAGCTTTTATAAAATTGAGATAAGAGAACCATTAAATTGGAGACCTGCTTTTATGCAATTGAGACATGAAGACTTTCATATGGTGAAAGATTGTCCAGAATTCTTAAATATGTAAAGTCCAAGTTGATCAACATTTCAACAAAATGGAACACTTGGATGATGTAAAAACTGACACTATTCTCATTTATTTCTGCTTGGCTTTCTTTCTTACAGTCTGAAATGGCAGTAGAAATATAAATGATTGTCTTTAAGAAATACCTGCTAGCCCTAGTACCTATGATGCACATTGTACAAGAAAGAGATCTTCTGCTGTAATTTAATTTAGAAAATTTGCAGCTGTACTGAGGTAAGCACCTGATTGTCTTTCCATGTGTCATGTCTCCTCTTAATAACACAAAAATTGAAGTCCTTAGATTTCTCCTTATTGGGATCCCTGGACTGGAGAAGAGTCACCTCTGGATTTCTATCCCTTTCTCATCCGTGTACCTTCTTTCTTTTCTGGGTAACTTTGCCATCCTCTTCTGTATCAAGACGGAGAGAAGCCTCCATGAACCCATGTACTATTTCCTTTCCATGCTTTCCATCTCTGACCTCGGTTTGTCCCTCTCTTCTTTACCCACCACTTTGGGGCTATTCCTGTTTGATGTCCATGAAATTAATGCATCAGCATGCTTTGCCCAGGAGTTTTTTATCCATTTATTTACAGTCACTGAAGCCTCTGTGCTGTCTGTAATGGCATTTGACCGATATGTGGCAATCCACAATCCTTTGAGATACAGCACCATTTTAACCGGTTCCAGAGTTATCAAAACAGGGGTCTTTCTTTCTTCTAAGAATATTCTCTTGATCCTTCCACTGCCCTTTCTCTTGCAACGACTGAGATACTGTCACCGAAACCTGCTCTCACATTCCTACTGTCTCCACCAGGATGTCATGAAGCTGGCATGCTCTGACAACAGGGTCAATGTTATCTATGGACTCTGTGCTGCGCTTTCTACCATGCTGGACTTGGTGTTTATTACGTTCTCATATGTAATGATTTTAAAGACAGTGCTGGGCATTGCAACCCCCAGGGAACAGTTCAAGGCCCTCAACACCTGCATCTCTCACATCTGTGCCGTGCTGATCTTCTATGTGCCCATGCTGAGTGCAGCCATGCTTCACCGCTTTGGCAGGAATGTGTCTCCTATGATCCATATCCTCATGGCTGATATATTCCTTCTGGTGCCACCCTTGATGAATCCCATTGTGTACTGCGTGAAAACCCGGCAAATTCGAGAAAAGGTTGTAGAGAAATTTTGTCCAAAAAGAAGCTGATGTTGATCAAAGGGATGAAAAATGGAATAAATGTATGTGTAATAACTGAGTAAACTTTGTTTAGCTGGGAGAAAGCACGATGTAGCAGAATAGTCTTGGTTTTATAGTCAGATCTCATAGAACGAATAGCTTTTTTAAATTAACATGTAAGAACCATACCTATTTGTAGGGGTACAGTGTGATTTTCAGAGCACTTGCATTACTGCTCTTCCACAGATGTCAGGATGACTTTCACTTCTTTAAATCACCTAATTATAACCATATATTTAAGAAGCATCTTTTTTGTATAATTTCAAAAAAATCTAGAAAATAATTCCCTGTGTTTCCCAGTATTTTATCCAGGAAAGGTCATAGTTTTGTTGTGAACTCTTCCCTAATCATCTCCAGCTAAGAATGATACCTAAACTTCTCCTGAACATTAACTTATCTTTATTGATCATTTTACATATGTGTATTACTTTTATGATTCTAGAATCCCAGGTATTGTTTGTGTATAGTAACTTACTTCCTAGAGCACCTTATACAATTATTCTGTGTTAGAATATGAGCTCTAGGGGACCAATGATTGCTTGTCTTACTGACTCCTTCATTCCAGCTGCTGGCCTAGGGAGCAACTTGTCTTATGCACTCAAGGATGTTATGTAACTATCAAGCATTGAAAGAACACACACACACACATATATATATTTCCAGAACTCACTCACACTGTCATGCTCAATCTTCAATTTATTTTTTAATTTTTAATTTTATTTTACTTTATACATTCAATCACGTTATTTAGCTTACAGAGTGAATATTCCAACATGTGAACATTTCTCCCTAGTCCAGTTGATAAAACTATAAAATTATCTTCCCTCTCTATTTTTCTTCTAAATGTCCTTCCTCAGACTCTACTCTTTTTATACACCAACATTTCAGTTTTCTGTTAACATTTTGAGAAAGTCCTGCATACTTTAACACGATAGGAAAAATAAATTCCTTGTGGCTCATTCATGTCTTCATTGTTGTTTCTATTTACTCAACACAGGAGTCAATGCCAATATGTCTGTCTTTGATTATAAACAAAGCAATGCTGTTTCAGTTGTATAATGCTATGAATAAATATACTTAATAAAGATGTTGACAGGATAAAGAGAGAGTAAAAATGTTTACTTTTTACCAAAGAAAGCTTTGAGAATAGAATTCTGACAACCTTTCCTATTCTAAGATACTTTCTAAGGGGCCTACGGTAGTCACCTCTACTGACATTAATTTTGCTGTTGCAGACCACGTTGGTCCAGTGATTCTGAGATGCTCCCTACCTAGCATCCTGGCATAGCATTATTAAACACACAGCAAGGACTTACCTCTGTTAAAGTTGAACATTGGCATTCTTTTTGCTGACTCTAAATAAAATTATCTTCCCTCTCTATTTTTCTTCTAAATGTCCTTCCTCAGACTCTACTCTTTTTATACACCAACATTTCAGTTTTCTGTTAACATTTTGAGAAAGTCCTGCATACTTTAACACGATAGGAAAAATAAATTCCTTGTGGCTCATTCATGTCTTCATTGTTGTTTCTATTTACTCAACACAGGAGTCAATGCCAATATGTCTGTCTTTGTCACTCACACTGTCATGCTCAATCTTCAATTTATTTTTTAATTTTTAATTTTATTTTACTTTATACATTCAATCACGTTATTTAGCTTACAGAGTGAATATTCCAACATGTGAACATTTCTCCCTAGTCCAGTTGATAAAACTATAAAATTATCTTCCCTCTCTATTTTTCTTCTAAATGTCCTTCCTCAGACTCTACTCTTTTTATACACCAACATTTCAGTTTTCTGTTAACATTTTGAGAAAGTCCTGCATACTTTAACACGATAGGAAAAATAAATTCCTTGTGGCTCATTCATGTCTTCATTGTTGTTTCTATTTACTCAACACAGGAGTCAATGCCAATATGTCTGTCTTTGATTATAAACAAAGCAATGCTGTTTCAGTTGTATAATGCTATGAATAAATATACTTAATAAAGATGTTGACAGGATAAAGAGAGAGTAAAAATGTTTACTTTTTACCAAAGAAAGCTTTGAGAATAGAATTCTGACAACCTTTCCTATTCTAAGATACTTTCTAAGGGGCCTACGGTAGTCACCTCTACTGACATTAATTTTGCTGTTGCAGACCACGTTGGTCCAGTGATTCTGAGATGCTCCCTACCTAGCATCCTGGCATAGCATTATTAAACACACAGCAAGGACTTACCTCTGTTAAAGTTGAACATTGGCATTCTTTTTGCTGACTCTAAGTCTTTCGAAAACAAAGACTGTCCTTTTAGCCAATTGCTAAAGTGAGAATTTCTAAACCAACCTATAAGCTATAAGCTTACACTTCTAAACATCCCTCCTTTTTGGGCCAGGCTATTAAAACATTACTTATGCTGATTTCCAACTTTGTCTGTGCCTCCTGCTCTCAGAACTAAATCAATAACTGCTGCATTTGAACACCCTGAAAACACTTTTGTATCCCAGGCCGTGTTCAACTATGTGCTTGGAAAAAAAACTGTACTGTCATTTCTACTGAGCTTGGCCATTCCTGTCAATGGCAGTGAGTGAAGTTAAGAGGGAAGAGAGGTTGAAAGAGTGATGTTAGGACTCTCAGACTTAAAACAAGTCAACTGCAAGGAAGATAAGATTTTATTACTTGGAACCATTTTCTATAAAACCACATAAAAACCACACCAAACTTAGTGACTGAAAATAGCAATTATTTATTGATTCCTAGTTTTCCAATTTGTTCAGGACTCCTCAGGGATACCTCTTGGCCTCTTCATCTGGCTTGGGCTTCTAAGGGCATAAAAACTGGATTCCAAAGAAGAGTTCCAAACTAAAGAGTGTTCTAAAAAGCAGGATGGAAGCTTCTAGTTGTTAAAGACTATGCCTGGGACAGGTGTAAGGTCATTTCTACTGCATCTATTGGTTATACACTAACAGTATCATCTCAGATTCAAAGGAAGAAGAAAATAATTTCACCTCTTAAAAGAGAAGTGATAAATAATTTGGAGCTGCCTCTAAACCAACACAGTCCAGAATTACTTTTTTTTTTTTTTTTAGTTTGATGATCAATTTCATAAATGGCAAACCATGAATTAGTATAGATCTTCACTGGTGTGCCTTCATTTGCTAATCACTAGATGGCCATCCTAGGATTGTTCAGAATGGTACAATGGTAACTACCACCTCAGCTGATCACCAAATGTAATGTGGAATGATATTACCTTGCATTCCTGTTAAGCTCCCACATCTATTTCTCTCTGTAGACAAACATGTCCAGCTCTTTTGACTCCTTATTCTACTCCACATATCCATGCTGCCTAATTTGAAGACAAGAAAATAAATTATCTCCACCTTTTACCACTTGGATAAAGGCTTTTGTCTACAGTCTTCCAGTTTATTGCATTCTGTCCTCTAAGATAAATGCTAAGCCCCTCTATCAAAACTACCTAAGCCCCTAAAACTAAATTTTATATCTTCATTTTTTCCAAAGACTCTACTGCACCTTCTATCTTTCTGGGTTTTTGTTTTGTTTTGTATATTTTTATTCCCCCTCCCCATTTTTCTGGTAATAGTTATTATCATCCAATCTATAAATAGGGTTGTTTTGAAATAAAATAATTTTAAGACTTATATGCCATCACTATCTTCCTTTTTTTTTTTTTTTTGGAGAGATTTTCACTGTAGGGCGCGTGCGCTTGCCAGACAGACAGAGAGAGACATAGAGACAGAAAGCGAGAAATCACCCCCCAGGGGGGATGGTCACGCCGCAATCCCTTCTCCGCCATTCTCCTCTCGGGATCTTGGGCACGCATGCACACGCGCCTGGCGTGAGTTTTAAGCCACTGGGTCCGGGACACGAACCGCGGTCGACTACGTGGGAGTCCAGCGACATAGCCATTACGCTAACTGCTGGTTCCCTATGCCATCACTATCTTAACTTTCTCAGTACTTATTAATTCTTTATTGTTTTAATGTATTTTAAATAATTAATTAAGATAAATCTATATAAATCAATATCTATATACCACATGAACAATTTAACACAAATTCATATTGAGCTTGTTTTATTTTTTTCTTTTATTTCTTGGAGGTTTTTGTTTTGTTTTGTTTCAATTTGCCAGAAGGCTCCAGCTCTTGCTTGAAAAAGCTAGGGAGAGGGAAAGTAAGAAAGTATCCCTCTGGAGGCACAGTCATGTCACAATCTCTTGTCCTCCATTTCTCCACACTTTTGGGATTTTTGGCCATATACACCCATGCGGCCAACATATTTTTCAAATCTTTGGTTTTGGGCCTTGAGCTGTACAATCAGCCATTTGAGATTTACCTATCCTAATCACCAGGCACAGGGGTGGCCCTGCTCATTCTTTTCTTTTCTCTATCTATTCTCCAGACCGAAGAAAATCAGTTTAGCCCTTGGGCAACTAGTATTAATAGGTAACAAGGTTTCTTAAAAGATGTACTCCCAACATTAGAGACAGGAAAATACTAAATATGATGTTTGCCAATCCAGGAGATAAATGACAATCACTCATCTAGACCCTCTGTGAAAGATTTTTATAGGGACCAGCAGTTAGCGTAATGGCTATGTCGCTGGACTCCCATGTAGTTGACAGTGGTTCGCATCCTGGACCCAGTGACTTAAAGCTCACGCTGAGCGCGTGTGCATGCGTGCCCAGGATCCCGAGAGGAGAATGGAGGAGAAGGGATTGCAGCATGGCCATCCTCCCTGGGGGGTGATTTCTCGCTTTCTGTCTGTCTCTCTCTGTCTGTCTGGGGAGCGCACACGCCCTATAGCAAAAACCACTCCCAAAAAAGAGAGTTTTACATAGGGTCTCATTCAAAATCCTCTACAGCCTTGTCTCACACTTAACTCCATACTTAACAATCATAGAATGACAAAGTAATTTGGGGCCCACAGATGGCATGAAGGTTAAGACAACTGGATCCCACAAGGG